CAATTGCTTAATGGTTTACCTGATCATCCTCTTAAGAGAAAAAAAATACTTGATATCTATTATAGTGGACTAACCGATGCTTCTAGGGACTACCTTGATAGTTGTGCTGGTTCTGTTTTCAGGGAACGGACTGTTGGACGGGCTGAAGAACTATTGAATAATATATTAAAAAAATCGATGATTGGACACTTCTTGAACCACCAACTAAGCCAACTCCGAAGACGAGAGATATTCTATTCCTCGGTCCTGAAGATATGCAAGAGGCAAAGAAATCTACGAAAGTAAAGGGTATTAAATCTGAAGATGTTAAGAATTTACCACCTATTGAAGAAATGCATGGGCTCGATATCTCGACACAGGTAGTAGAGGTAAATTCTCTTATTAGATTCGATGAAAGTGATATTCCTTATAATAAATCTGCTAGTCAATGCCTAGATGAATTTGATAACTACATTGTTAATCAAAAACATTGTAATATGTATGTTAGCAAGAAATTAAAACATAATGCTTTCATGATTGATCATTTGAGTGATTTGATGTTTAGAATTGCTAATGATGTTAAAGGTTTAAGTGTTATTCATCCATGGTTCATACCCAGTTAGAACAAGTTGCTATGTCACAAAACAATTTGCTTAATGAAATGAATAATAAAATGAATGATCATGTTGTTAGGGTAATGACTAGAGGAGGTAGAATGACTTAGGAACCTCTGTATCCTGAAGGTCATCCTAAGAGAATTGAGCAAGATTATCAGAGAATTAATATCGATATGCCTAGTTCATCTAAGAAGAAAAAGAAAAAGAAAAAGAAAAATGATAGAACTTCGCATGCTTCTAGTGAACTTGTGATAGAAAAACCTTTTGAGAATTATAATGATGTTTTTATTTCTGATGTTGAGACACAATCTGGTAATGAATATTCAGCTAATAATAATTATAATAATAATGATGATGTTCATGTTGATGCTCAACCTGATAATGATGTAGAAATAGAACCTGTTGTTGATCTTGATAACCCACCTCCTAAGAATAAAAGATATGATAAAAGTGATTTCCTTGCTAGAAAACATGGTAAAGAAAGAGGACCATGAGTTCAGAAACCCATGTCATTTCCTACTAAACCTTCGAAAAATAAAGATGTGGAAGACTTTGAGTGCTTTGTTGAAATGCTTAGACTAGTAATTTCACGTACTCCTTTGACTGATATTTTGAAAAGGCTCCATATGCTAAATACATGAAAAATATTGTCACTAATAAAAAAAGATACCTGAAGCTGAAATTTCCATCATGCTTGCAAATTATTCTTTTAAGGGTGGCGTACCTAAGATGTTAGGAGATCTAGGAATACCCACTATACCATGCACCACTAAAAGAAGTTATGTTAAAACTATTTTATGTGATTTACGAGCCGGTGTTAGTGTTATGCATTTCTCTTTATATAGAAGGCTATATTTGAATAAGCTCACACCTACTGAAATATCTTTGCAAATGGCTGATAAGTCAACTGCTATACCTATTGAAATTTGCGAGGATGTCCCGGTTGTAGTTGCAAACATTACTATTTTAATAGACTTTGTTATACTTGATATGTCGAGGTCGACGCTATGTCGATTATCCTTGGAAGACCCTTTTTGAATACTGCAGGGGCTGTTATTAATTGCAATAAAAGCAAGCTTACTTTTCATGTCAATGGTAATGAACATACAGTTTATT